GAAACCAAAATCAATTTACTTCTCCCTCCCCTTTCCTTCTCCTTGTTTTACTTCTCCCTTGTAAAATTATCTCATCCTTGACTAAGTGTTCACATGTCTCTAGTACATAATATGATCAAGAGGAGATCTGATTCAGAAATTAAAATTAAGCCTTTAGTGGTTTACTATGATTACATTTTGAGCTCATGCTTTCGTCTATGTCTCTGGTGTACTGGCTGGACAACTGAAGCAGTTTAAAATGGAGTGCTCAGCAGGATGAGATATTTCAACCCAAGCATGAAGGAGCCTCCTGGAAGAGCACTGCAGTTCTCAGGTCCTGTGAATGAGCCTCCAGCAGGTCAAGAACAGGGTCTGCTCTGCACCTGTGGGCTGCATGCAGGCCAAGGCCAGGTCTCACTGATGTTATGTGATCTCATAAAGACTGAAGGTTGCAGCCACATTTGTCCAGTGTCAATCACTGCTGCTTTGTCAAATGAATGTAATACCAACAGTGGTTACTTAAATAGTTAATTTAATTTTGAGATCTTGTCCAGTTTGGGGAGGATTATTATAATCAACTTCATGAAGTGGTGTCAGTTTTTCAAACGTGATCACACTGTAAAGATGCATTGAGGTAAAATGGTAAAATGAGGTTCTGGATTAGTTGTCTTCCTCGCAGTCTAAAAAACACTGATAGCATGTGAATTATACTAAACTGGGTTTTGTGATTAGCTTTACAGGGACTTTACAGTCCCTTTAGGGTCTGGTTTTAAAGTCTTGGAAGAAAATGTCATTGAAGGCAATAATGTTGCATCTGAAACCAATATGATTATCTGTCTATCCATCTATTCATCTCTACGTAGGTAAAGAATCTGTCTGATTTCGTATGTATAGGAGTGTGTGTGTGTGTACACTTATAGTCTTGGCTTTATATACTATATTCATCCTTTCAAGGCCATGTGAGTTTTGTGAACTTGATCATATACTGAGACTGCTAAACTATTTGTATAGTGAATCCAGCATTTACTCTTGAAAATAAATGAGTTTTGATTACAGAAATACGAATTAGCTGTACAAGTGAACTGGAAATTTATGAATAATTGTTTCAGAAACTGTGTCGAGAAGTTGAAGAAAGAATAACTAAATCAACAGCTAAGTATCAAGAAGATGTTTAGTCTGCTCAGACTTAAAAGAAATAATTTGAATTTGTATCATCCAATACAGAGTCCACCATAGCTCTTCACATATTTTGAAGTTAATATGGTTCTTTCAGAAATTTCTCTATAAGTTGTTTAACAAATCAGCTCTTGAGTTTGAAACATCTTTAAGTAAGGAAAAATAAAAAATATGTAATATCTAAGTAAATTATTTTTCTGGGAAAAGAGCCTGGCATCTTTCCCAGATAGAAAGGTCAAAGATATCAAATTCACTTTTAGGAAATGCCCTCCAAGCATCACTCTATGATGGCTTATGAATACCAGTCTGTAGGGATGCTGTGACACTTTCATATGATCTAATTTGGAGAGACCCTATTTGCAGTTGGGATTTCCTGTCTAAGTACCTTAGGAGAACAATCATTACAGGTAAGTGGCTTGTTACTGACACTTGCTGGTATCACAATACAATGGGTACTTAGCAGTGAAGATGCCACCTTTTGTGTGTCTGGACCACTAAGCAGCTAAACTGATTTCCTTGAGAGAGAAAGGGAAGGTGCACTGTTTTGACCCTTCAGGTCTCACACAAGAGCTGCATGTTTTTGTTAGCAGCCTAACCACTTCATTTATAAGCGCTTTCAGAGCTCTTGGGTATGCCACCTGTACACGATGACTTTTATGCTTTTAAAAATTATATGGTTTCTCTGATTTATCTTATAGATACTCGACAGTTTGAAAGGATGTTCTATTTTCATTACTGAAAATATCAGATCAAGTGTAACTGTCCTGTCCTCCAGTTTAGAATTGAAGTAGAGAAGATAACATTCCCCATCGAAGGACTGATGGAATCTTCTTTGATTATTCCTTATAACCTCTAGTGATAGAGGAAATGCACAGATCCATTTAGAGCCATACTATCTCTTCTAATTGTTTTTTTATTCTTTGTCTGCTGTAGTCTACTATTCCTG